TGGGAATTTCCTACTTGGTGTAAATTGTAAATTCATCAAAAGTTAACATCACGATACATTAATTATGTTAATGTGGAGGTCATTTGCATAATTAAAGAGGAAATTTACATTTACACGTCAAGCCCATATTTCATGGAGGTATGTGATCTCAGATCTCTTGTTTGACTTAGAAACCAGCCTGCCAGTGGTATTTTATAATAAGACCTCTGACCTCTTGGTACAATTTGCATGTTGTGTGTGTTTATGTAGTTTGTAGTTAAGCATTACCATGTTGTTACGTTAGTAGTATGTTGTTAAATGTGCATAATGACTCCAGGAAGATTAGTATGTATGGAAACTCAGTCTGTACAAACTAACGGAGATCGGTCTAATAAACAAACATGTTGACTTCATGGCCCCTATTGTAGCTTTTTTGGACAATCAGAAGATGCCTAGATCTGCTTTTATTTATTTATTTTCCTGTTGCTTCATATTTTTTTCTAAAAAAAAAAATCCGAAAACCAACAAATGAAACTGGTATGGACTTGTCTTTAGGCTTGTTTCTGTGTGTTTCCATCTTGCAGAGCAACATGTAACATGCACTACTGGCTACAACTACTAAGAGTTTTGTTTAAAGTTAAAACTTTTGGTCCAACACAAAAAATTCTCTTACCTACATGTAGAGCTTTCGACCAGTCACTCTGGTCTTCCTCAATAGACTGACCCAGTGAAGCTTGTCACGTGGCTTCTTTGAAGTGTGACGTCAACACTGGGTCAAAGGTATCTGGTAGACGATGCCGGCCCCCGTCGCAGTTCAATGTAGGGTGATGGGCCCTGCTGTATATATAGCTTACCTCACCCCTCTCAAGAAATAGTCTTGTTCAGTGTCTAAAATTCTTACAGTGTCAAGTGAAACAAAATGTCCGGGTGACTCTATGTGGATGTGTTGAGACACCTCTGAACTGGCAGAGCTAGGCCGTGTATGTTCTTGGAACCTGGCTTTTAGAGACCTCTCTGTTTCCCCAATGTACGTTTCCTGGCAGGGCCCCTTGTTGTTTTTGCCCTGGCAGGGGATGTGGTAGATGACACCGCACTTCTTCTCTTTGGGGGTTTTGTCCTTGGGCGCAACAAGAATGTGTCTTAAAGTAGTGGTTGGTTTGAAACAAGTTGCAATCCCGTGGGAAATGAAAATCCTCCTGAGAGCTTCAGACAGCTTTTGTGTTGGACCAAAAGTTTTAACTTTAAACATGTAACTACCAACACAGATGAACTTTCATGATAGTACTAACAGTTTTGTTTGGTAGAAAACAATAGTTTGTTACACAGACATTTGACAGAACTTTGGATTTAATTCCGGAGTTGGACATACATGTATCTATGCAAAAAAATCTGCCTGCTCTGTCAAGTCTTATATGAATACATCAGATTCTGTCCTCTGGAAGGGTAGCTAGGAACAAGGAATGTCCGAATCTGCTTTACAAATATTCTTCAACATTTACAACAACATACGTAGACCATCTATCAACAAATGTTCTAAACTTCATCCAACTTTGCTGTCACTACTCCGATGCCTAGTTAGCAAATCTGTGAACATAATTGTATCACATACTAAGTACTTTACATTAAGAACAACAAAGTACAACTGAAACTTGTCTTCCTCTACAACAATGTATAAGAATGGGGCTTCGAACCAACTTTGGATGACAATATAGCACCTAAATATTAGCGTAACTTAAATTGGTATTAAAATCATGTTGCAAAAGCTACCAAACACTGGTATACAAAACGTAAGCTTAACTATTTTCATTCAGTTGCTTTTTTCAAGTTGTGTCAACCCTTATCAAAATAATCTCTTGACAATACACATCCTTTCTTTTCAGATTTGTACAATACAATGCCTCATAGAAAATCTACATATACAGCACAGAGCAGAATTTATACACACGTATTGTTACAGATTTTGCAGCAACCGAAATAACTACCATAAAAAAATCGTGGACAAGGTTTGATCAATAATTTCTCAGAATGCTTACAAATTAACCTTCACTCTGCCGCATGTTAGCTTAACTGTCAACTGGATACTTTTTACTGCTTAACTCAGTAGGAACAAGGTTAAGTACATGATGCTATATATCATTAACTGACGTACATGTAGTACCGGTATTAGTAGATAACCAGTTAGGCCATGTTGATTTGATTATATGGATGACTTGCTCTGGGAACCTCAAAACTGATGCGAGCGTGCGAATAAAAATGTTTGGCAAAAAAAAGTTTCCTTCATTATGAAATCTACGTGATCATGAAGGTTGAACAAATGACTAAACACAGAGTATGGTATGGCGAATAATACTACTAAAAGACATTTTCATTTCTTCACATTTTCTTTTTTCCTTTAGAATTGATTTTGGCATTGTACAACATTAGTATCGTTTTCCAATATTATATTTGCTAATTTTACAGCTGCTTTGTACGATTTACAGAATGGTCTAAAACTTTTTCTTGAAACGGACGAAAGTTCATGCACGCAGACGTCCTGGATATAATTAAATCAACATGGCTTTAGACACTGTAACAAACTCTACAATAAGACAACTTAAAACTATCAATGGTCATAACACGTACATGACAATATGTATTTATGCTACCAGTACTCTGCTGCAAGCCAATGACATTCATGTAAACTCACTTTAATCTCATAACATTTACACAGCCTTCTGTCTATTAAATGATTTCCAACTATACAACTTTAAAACCAAGAACCAAAAATGACTGACTTGACATAACCAGACTTTTACAGTAACAACTTTAGTCTTGGCAGAATGTTTACTTTATAAGTACCTGTATACATAGAAATTCAATATCACAATATTGGACAAACACAATGTAAATATGCATATTTATCAAGCTCTTGAACTGCCATGAAGCATAACTATATGTACTTTATACCTAAGGCCACACCGACTTATGTTTAAGGATGACATCCGTGCGCGCATTGATTTTTGCCTGTTCTAAAACAAAAAAAGAAAAAAAGATGACGTCCTCTGAGGCTCTGGCCTGGCTGTAGGCCTGGGTAGTCCCTGGTAGTTAGCGACAATACGGAGCCAGGCACCCAGGCTACCGAAGCTCTATGACTCAAGAACTCAGTACATACGTACAGTGCCGATTCATAAATGCTACAAAAAGCCAGCATGTGCCGGCTTGTCGTATACGTCACTAAGTACTGCCGCAAAATCACAATACCAGCTTTTTATTCTAACTTGTGGTTTAGTAGCATTTTTATTTTGGGCCGGAATTTTCTTTATTCGCCCGCGCGCACTAGTTTGGGGGTCTTCAGAGGATGTCATCCATAAAATTAAGGCGCTGTGGCCTAACTGGAACAAACATGCTAGCACTAGTAGTACTATGTACTTTTATCCCGAACTGATGTGTTGTAACACTTACAAAACACAAGGGCAGGATCTGGCAAATAGAAGGGCGGAAGGTTAGAATTTGGTCAATACATATATAATATATAATTGGTTTGCTTAAAAATTAAGTAAGATTAAATTTGTAGATCATTCATAGGCAACTGCATGTGTGTGTGTGGGGGGGGGGGCAAGAGTCTTGGATAAGTACACAACCAGATATTTGAACACATTTAATTTGTGGATACTGCAATGTGCCTTTGTCACCGACACACTAACTTGAAATGAACCATTCTGAGAAAAGATGAAATACAACTGTTACAGTAAGGCCACACCAATTTAATTTGTTGGTTCTCGGATTTTTTCAGAAAAAATATGAAGCGACAGGGCGAAAAAAATAAATAAATAAAAACAGGTCTAGGCATCCATTATAGGCTTAAATGCTACGGAATGAGCCATGAAGTCAACACAAAAGGCTGGGTTAAAATTTAAACATTGAATTTTGAACTTTTAATCAAACCACTGCAATGATAGATGGGAAAACTGTAACAAGTAGGAAGAAAAGGACTTTCCTCAACTGTTGGGGGCAAAATATGAGCATTTTTCAGTTGATTCAGGACTAGAATCAATTTCTTTTTTTTGCAAACCAGAAAAAAACGAAGAGGCGAATCCGAGAACCAACAAATTAAATTGGTGTGGCCTAATGATTTGAAATAATGCTTCAAAACTGTCAGGTTGTTCAAGGCACAACAAAAAGGCAGAAACTAATTTGGCTCATTCAGATAAAAATTGCTAAATTGAATATCATTAAGTCATTAAAGCATTACCACATAACTAACAAAAAAATAGCAGCATTTTGTATAAGCGATAGAAGAAAAAAATTCTTTTAGGCAAAGGACCTTTTGCCGGCTAATCTAGAATTGATGCAACAGGACTTGTAAGGGCTGATTTGAGAAGCTTGTAGTAATTATTGTAATAAGTAACAACTTCAAATTGATAATTATCAATGGTATTATCCTAGGAAGCTACAAGCATTGCAACTAAGTCCTCAGCAAAAGATATTCTTACTAGTCATAAAGTGTATGTAGCACTTTCAAAAAAAAATTTCAAAGCAATACCATGACAGTCAACTGAAGGTGGCTACCTTCTGTGATCCCATACGCACAAGCAGTACTGTAGAAATTTAAATTGGTTCATTTCCCTGTAACAGCAGAAACAAACATCTTATCTACTGTTCCTACCCACAGTCTGAAACCTGGAACAGCAAGAAACGTTGGCTTAATGTACCTCATGTGGGTTAGGGTCAACAGCAGCCACTACATCCCATTGAAGGCATCCAAATGCAATTTCAAGGCGGCAAAACAAAAAAAAAATCTGGATGAGGAAATCTGTCTGATTTACTGCCATTTCTTAGCACGTTTCTGTCATCATTTTATACTTGGAGCGTTTGAACAAGCTACATTAATTTTGTACATATTGAGGAATTCCTTTACCTTTTGGGTACCACCCATAAATAACTAGAACCAGCCATAAATAGCTAGAACCAAGCAACTGTTTTCCGTCAGTGACATCACATTCTTAGTTCACAGATATCAGTATGCCATGGGATAGGATTGATTCAACTTTTAGTTAGATGTATTACATTAAAAGAATGACAAGAAAATTGACTTTGAAAATCCAGTTTTGCTGCCCTGAAATTGCATTGATTACCTTTAAAGCACAACTGTAGGGAAAACCTGGAGGAAACTGCAGCTAGACTACTTTCTGTCCACAACTAATTTACTTTTTTTTTTACTTGATACGTCAGGAAAACTGGGACAATTGTGCCAGTACCATGGAATACATGTAGTACTACATGGTGCCCCTTCACAACTGTTACAGCTTTTTGTTACCACAGGGTAACACATCGGCAGAACATTTAATTTACTACTCCTGCACAAAACCCTGATTTTTCACGATTTTCATTGAATGTTTGGTCAAGGCTGCATCAGAATTTTGCCTGTTTCAGAAGATATCTTTTCCGACACAACATTTGGAAACTACAGACGACATGTTAACCTTATATACCCGAATTCGACCTTATTTGAGACGTTCTGTCGAAGTGCTATGCACAATACATTATGGGTTTCGCAAAGGTGCAGTATGTTCTGCCGACGTGGTCCACAGGGTATAGCTGTTCACGGTACTGTGGTTAAGTGCCTGGTTAATTGGTTCACGAGGACCCCTCTCCTTCGTCCTCCTCCTCATCGACTGCCCATGATTGTGATGCCTGTCTGGCAGCCACCAACACCTGGTCATACACTTCATCCCGGTTTATCATCGCACCAAACAAGTACGGCTGGGGAAACAAAGGGGGTTCAGAACTTCAGAGTTAGTGACAACAACATTATCTTACATCAATCTAGTAGTGAATTCGAAAAGGAATTCCAGAACTGTGTCTCCAAATGTTGATTTGATTACATGGATGACATCCTCTGGGAATCCTCGTGTGAATAAAAAAAAGTTCGGCAAAAAAAGTTGCCTTCATTATGAAATCTACATTGTATGTGGTCATGAAGTTTGAACAAAGGACTAAGCACACAGAGTATGGCATATATATACTATTTTTGCTCATATTTGCAGCTGCTTTGTACGATTTACGGTGTATACACTTAGGCCACACCAATTTAATTTGTTGGTTAACGGATTTTTCTAGAAAAATAATGGAGCGGGCTGGCGAAAAAAAATAAAAAAATAAAAACAGGCCTAGGCATCCTATTATGACCCAAAATGGTACGATAGCAGCCATCAAGTCAACACACCAGGCTGGTTCAAAATTTAAACAACGAATTTTGAACTTTTAATGGTACCACAGTGACTGCATTGAAAGATGGAATGACTGTAAGAAAAGGACTGTTTTCAACTGTTCAGGACAAAATATGAGCATTTTGCATTTGATTCTGAATTTTTATTTTTATTTGCAAATCAGAAAAAAATGAAGCGGCGAATCCGTTAACCAAGAAATTAAATTGGTGTGGCCTTACCAACTAATTTAATCAACAATGGTGTTTTCTATGGACATTGATTGAAAAGTTGATAACACTAACAATACCTTTTCTGCATTGTTGACTTTCACTTCTAAGGACATCCCATTGCCTGGCATAAATGGTAGAGCTTTAGCCTAGAGGGAAATGCAAGACATTCAACATTACAGAGATTCAACAACACCTTGGCTACTATCTTACCCTAACTCATGCATCCTCTAAGAAATGATAACATTACAACATTTTTCCTTTTCATTTTTACCGAAGGAAAACATATTGTCTTTGCTACGTTTCCTCTTCTTATGTTCCAAACACTGACCTCTGACCTGGCTAATGACCTGATTTGTTGACGTCTCTCACCATGGTAACTGGGGCTAGGTTACATAATGTTGCAATTTTATAGTAGTAGAGATTTATACTCCCGTCTGACCATATATGAATGTATTTGATTAATAATTAACAGTCTGAGTGCAGACCATATGCGAAGGTAAACATTATGCATTTGCTTTGCAAATGTTACTTGAAGTTTTTTTTCCCTCTGAACCCTTAAATTAAATGTGTCATGTATTCTGTCTCACCTTTTCTAGTCCCACTATGTCAGCTAACTGGATTTTGACATTCTTGGAAGGATTACTCTTGGAGCGTTCATAACACAAGAAACTGGAAGGAAACAAAGATGAGTCAATGTACAATGTAGGTAAGACATCCAGGTAATAAGATATGCCAAAAACAGTTACTCATCGACAATAAACTCTTTGGCACTTGGAACCTACATGTAAAAGTCCCAGACCCAAGGACAGAGAGTTCTGAAACAACAGTTATGGAGCTATTTGACTCATTTGCATCAACCTTGTTTTGACTATATCATTTAATAGTTTGTAGCTATAAACCTGTTTGAGATCTTAACAGTATCACTGACAAAAGGTAGCAGACTGATACGTCTGTCTGTTTCCAAAATCATATCCAGTAAGTTGCTAGAGTAACGGTTACTAACTGTTTTTTTGGCAGAAACAAAGATGATTTGCTTATCATTAAATATGAATACAGAATCAGAGCAATGAGGAGTACACAAGAAAGGGAATTTCAGTATTATACAAATTGTGAAGCTCACTTTTTGGTGAGATAAAGTCTGCCATGTTTGATTCCCCCTGACGTGAGTCCCTTGTCCCTGTCGATCAGCACACAGTGACGGCCATCTTCCCATTCTGAAGAAAAAAAAAATTTTTTTTAGTCGTACAGTGTTCAAAATACAGTCAAACCTGCCAAGGTGACCACCTCTTCAAGCTGGCCACCTAGCCTGTCCATGGTGACTGCTTTTTCTTGGTCCCCCAAATTTTCCCCATTGATGCAGGCATTAAGCAACCTGTCCAAGGTGACCACCTGGCCAACGGGACCTTGGTGGAAGGTGGGTTAAAGAGCTCTCACATACACAAATGCCAACAAAAACATAACCTTGTACAATCATGAAAGTTCATCTGGTATCTGGTAGACGTCAGAGCCCATCACCCTGAACCGCAATGGGGGCCGACATTGTCTACCAGATACCTTTGACCCAGTGTTGACATCACACTTCAGAGAAGCCACGTGACTCACGGTCAGTCTACTGAGGAAGACCAGAGTGACTGGTCGAAACTCTAGGTGAGAGAACTTTTTGTGTTGGATCTTACATTTTACCTCTAAACAAAAACATAACCTTCTTGCTGGGAAGGTGACAAGTGTTCCCTACATGTACCTTGCTGTGGCACCTCTGTAGATGGCAGGTTGAAGAGCTGTAGGAACTCCATGGTGTCTGTGCCTGTAGGTGTGGTGGCCAGGCTGGTCGGTGCACTGTTAACCACAGCTGACGCATCGGCCTCCGGCGGTGGTGTGGACGGGATGGGCTGTGAAAAGTAAGGTCAAGTTCAGGACAGGATATACTTACTGAAAGACAAAAACCTGCCCAAAATTTACATGTAAAGTGTTCAAAAACTCAAGACATTCTTTCCTATAACTATTGCAGAGGGGAACTTACTGTAACATACAAATGTAGGGGCATCACCATTACTAGATAGTTTTTAAAACAATGTTTATTTAGAGTTAGATGTTGAAAGGTTAGGTGCAGCAGGTTGTTCGGTGTACAATAGCCAGCTGCCGACATGCCGCATGCTTGTGAAGCTGGTGTGTCATACCGAAGGGCGGTTATACATGCAGATATGCCCGCAATCAGTTTTGGAGTTCCAAGACCAGGGCTCGAAATACTGTGCATGTGCACCTTAGTGCACCCAAATTTGAAGCTGTGCACCCAATTTTCTTCTGTGGGTGCACCCAAAAATTTTCATAGGTTTACGTAATGTAAAGATGTTAAATGTATAGTTAGTATAACGCATATTATAAAAATCTATTTAGTGTCAGAAAAATTATAATTGATGTACCGGGGTAGTACTTTTCTTTAGAAATGAAACACAATTAGTTTTTGCTGACAATCTACTTATTTTGTTTTATATGGTGCACACAAAAGATTTTTTGTGCACCCAATCTTTAGGTTGGGTGCACCAGTGCACTTATTCCCAAAAATTTCAAGCCCTGCAGACAATGTTGTCCATAATAGATAAATCAACATGGCCTAAGACAAAGTGAAGTATTTGTACCAGATATGGCTCTGATCTGGACCCCTGCACCACGACCCAGCTGCCTGACTTCAGTTGCAGGTCTGTCGGCAGGGTCTGCCAGATCCTGTGGGTGTTGTCGTACTTGGCCCGGACTCGCGGGAACCGCTTGAACACGTAGTCGATAAGGAACAACTTGATACCCAGACCAACTCCTGCAGATACACAGGGATATGGAGTTAATGTAGGTGTGATAAATTGAGAGGACTATTCTGGGACACACATATGATGTATTTCTAGACGAAGGGCCAATTTACATTGTACACAGGGCAAAAAAATTACTATGCTTGGGGCAGAACAAACCATCACTGACAGGATACGCACTAGAAGGCTCAGATGGTTTGGGCATGTGATGCAAAGACCGGCAAACACCTTAGTTTATAAGGCATACCACCAGGACTTCCAAAACCCTAGACCTCGGGGAAGACCACCCAAGAGGTGGAAAGATCAGATCCAGAGTGACACAGGGATTACTCTAAGTGTAGCTAAGGCTATCGCTCTTGACAGAACTGGTTGGAGGAACCTGACGGAGGGGAGCAAGGGGCCAGTACCTGGCCTGGGCACTTAGGCAGGCAGGCAGGCTTGGCAAATCTTGAGTGCTGCATACTGGATGTGCTACATGGCACCACGCAGCGGGTTTGTTTACATGCTCCAATAAAATCTGTACCATGACATGCAAAGCGTTCACTGCAAGGCATTCGTCGTAGGACAAAATTTTTTGGCTCTGACTGTAAACTGGCCCTAAGTGTAATCATGTTAGTCTCCAGAGGTTCAACCCTGGGCTTATTTTTCGCACATTTTTATTGGGCTTCCTTTTTTACACTCAGTCTTGTACTTTTTTGCACTGAGAGAACGGATTGCTGCATACTTCCCTGGCATAGCATCTGTTTATTTGGCCAATTTCTACTCTTTCTCTTTCCAGCCACTTTGCAAAGCCTGTTAGAGGCTTATGACAACACACACACACGCACGCATGCACACACACTACACACACACACACACACTACACACACATGCACTACACACACACACACTACACGCACACTCACACACACACTACACACACACTACACACACACACTACACACACACACTACACACACACACACACTACACACAC